GAATGGGATCTAGCATAATTAAAAAATACATACACACATATATACTTTCAATACGTTTTCTCAAGTTTATTGTATGTTGAGATATTAGCAAACCCTATAACAACAACAACAACAACGTAATAAAACCAAAAACTCCGTACATTGCACAGCACTATTGACAAGCTTTTAAAGTGATTTGGTCATAATAAATGGCACACCGACTTGGAGCCAGGGTCTCGTTTGAGAAGTGTTATATAAATATGATTTACATACATATATACTAGTATATATGCCAGTTAGTGGGTACACCAGAAACGTGTGCATTGTTCAGTTAGCTGGCCTACCACATGAAAGTGGGAATTTTGCGGTGCCTTAAACCCCAATCAAGTTCAAACATTAGTGGGGGGTTGTGTGAGGATATGTAACGAATCGTATTCATATGTTAAGATGTCCGCATCATAAATATGCTGTTGAACCTACATATGTACATACTGGGTGGTATTTTTCGCCACATTGCGGTCTTTAAACACAAAGGTTTGCAAGAAAAACTTAGTGACGAAAGAGATATTATTTTTTGTTTGTTGTTTGTAACATCAAAAGCACTGAATGCGAACATATATTTATATATAATATGATTGGAACCTTTTGAGCATATGGTGTGCATAGACTTTGATCGCAAGTATATTTTACTGATCCATACAGAGGCTTTCCCAATCGTGACTTAGCAGGCAGTATACGCCTACTTTCATGTTAAAGTGACTTTGTTCCTAATTTTATATATTTTCTGTCTCGTATTATTCTTCTTCTCGCTTGGTATTGAACAGCTCGAAGAGGTCCTTCCTGATCCTGGCGGAGCTTATGGTGTTTCGTATAAGTTGCGGGTATACTAAATTCACAAAAAGCAGAATAGAGGAAACTCTTTTTTGTGCAGTCAAAGCCTGCTTTAATATTTTCACTGAGATGGTGTGAGTCGATCCTCTTTTTTGGTGAACATCTGGTCAATCTTGGATTTGTCAGCTATCAGTTTGTCGGCGGTGGGCATAATAGGCTCGGTGAAGATGCTTATCCCACGGTAGTTGGCGCAGACTATAGGTTCTCTTTTTATTGATTGGACAGCTGATTCATGCAACTTATTGGTTTTTCGTCACAGTATTTCAACAGCTGCTTTGTTGTTTTTCAAGCGGGCGAATGCTATTCGAACGTTTTCATGGCCGGTCACTACCATTCAGCAGGCTGGAGAAGTGTTCCCTCGATAAATTCAGTATACTCTGGGCATTAATTCTAGTAACTCTCTGGATCCTACAATAGCAGTCCACTGGTAGCTCTCTCTTTCGCAGCGATTATTACAACGTTGCCAATTTTCCGTATGAGTAAATGCTGTGTTTTTCCAAAAGGCCACAAATTTTATTTGGAAAGTATAATGTAAAGCTTTATACTCTCTATGCCTGGAAAATTTCACTTATTTAATAATTATGTAGAAAATATTTTAAATGTTAATAATAAAATAGAAGCCACGATAGTGAAAATGAAAATGTGCTTAAAACCACAAAAATTGCAATTAATTAAATTCATATAACTCACTCACACGCAATCGCATATTTTCGAATTAAATTCTCACATATTTACATACATACATACTCACATGCGGAATGAACCCAACAGCAGATTTGACTGTCACAAAAAGCGGCAAATATTTCATGACGTTTTCAATAGTGTTTCGAGCAGGCAGAGATCAGAAATTAAACAAAATTTTGGTCTTCAAAAATGCTTTGAAAATAAATGAATTCACTATTTTTGTAATCTTTAGTGTAATATAAAAATATTGTTCAACGATTTTTATTAAGATGTCTGCAAAAAGAGCTAATAATATAAATGAATTCGTGGCCAAGTAAAACAGTTTGTATTGCGCTTTTTGGAATGTACGGGCGGTAATCTATTTATTAGTTCATAAAGCTCAATAAATTTCGCATAGTTTTTTATTTTACTTGGAAATTCGGTTACGACCTGAATTTTGACCCGCAATCTGTTGAAATAATTTTTTGGTGAACTTTTCAAACGCAGTTATTGGTTTTATCATTCCCCCTTACATTGTTCGCCTTTAATGATTAATAATTTGAAATTATATGAATGGCATAGGTAATGTTTTATTTCATTTTATTATTATTTTTCAAATATTTTTTTTTATTGTGGTGCTTTAGTAGTTTGCCTTGATTATTAATAGTTTTAAGAGGGGTTGCTTTTTTGTGCGCACAAATTTTGCTTATTATATATTTTTTCCTTTGTATTTTTTTTTTCACTGCTAACCCCGGAAAGAATACACTACTACGCTAAACAACCAACTACCCTCACAATAGAGACGACGCACTTTGACAGCTGTCACTTCGTTTTAAAAAAATTTGCGGTTTGACAAGCGCAAAGCGACACAACACAGATGTGCATATTTTTTACTATTTTTCAAAACAAATACATAAATGCGTATCGCTTAAAAAATTGAATATGGCGTAGGAAGGAAAATTGGAATCATTAGTCAATAAGTAATATTGAAAAATTGTTGAGTTGAAAAAATAATAATAATGGAATTTAATATACTTGCTCAGCGTGTGGGGTACAGCGTGTTTCGTGGTTGATTAAGTCACTATTGGAAAGTGAACTATATTTGAAATACATTGAACATTCATTAAGGTGTTTCTTTAGCTATTTTATTTTATTTGAATTCTCTATATATTATATATTTGATTTTTTATTATTTTGATATTTTTTTCATTTCAATTTGTTTTGAATTATTTTATTTTATTTTGGTTTATATTGTTACTTTTTTCAATTTTATTTAATTTAAGTTTTATTTTATTTTGTTTTTCTTTATTATAATTTTTTTTATTTAATCTTTTTCTTTTATATTTTTTATTTAGTTTTTTAATAATTCTTTTTTTTTAATTAAATTTCTTTTGCTTTTTTTTTTTATTTTGATCATTTTATTTTTTTTTATTTCATTTAATTTTTTTAATTCGAATTGGCCTTATTTTATTTTATTTTATTTTACTTGAGCTTGTTATATTAGTTTTTTATATTATTGTATTTTATATTAATTTAAAATATTTTTGTTCGTATTTTTATATATTTTATAATATTTTTTTTTAATTATATTTTATTTATTTAATTTTTTTGTAAGATATTTGAAATAATATGATTTTCTACTTTTAATTTTTTCCATTTACTGGCTCACCCTAATTCACACATATGTACATTTGTATGTACAATAATTCTTCTGATTATAATGATGCGCAAATATTGACGCATCATTGCGCACAATACGCACATATGTATGAACCCACTCTCTAGACATTAACTGAAATTTAAAAATTTTCCCTCTGAATTTTATTTGTATAATAGAAAATTCATTCGATTTGGACAAAGAAGGGACGAAAACAAGTATTTCTATTGAATATGTGAGTATGTTTATATGCTTTTCCGTTTGGGTTATTGAAATTTTAGTTGGTTTGCCTGGTTCTTTATGATGTTTTTGTTGTAATTGTTGTGGTTACTGTGCAAACGAGTGTTTTCATTTCCGTTTATTGTTTATTAAAAATGTAATTCTAACCCAATGACATGGCAATGCCGAGTAGCAATAATAATAATAACAAACACAGTAATATATTATCAAACAAAAACAACAATAATAATAAAAATAATAATAGCATATCAATGAAGCTTCCGCAGCTTCCTAGTTGCCCTCCTTTGGCATTTCGCAGCGTTTAGCCACCTTTTGCCCCTCTATCCTAAACTTTTGCTGCCCAGCTTCCTTTCGGCTCTTCCTGTGGTATTTTTCAATTTATTTCTCTTCCTTTCGCATATCCTGTGTAGAAGTATTTTTTAGTACTGTTATTTTTATACAAAATTTATTTATTATTTTAGTTTTATTTAATTTTTTCATTTTATTTTCTTTTGTTTTTTATTTTTTCTTTAATTTGCTTTTTATTTTGAGTACTAAGATAATTGCTTTTTTTTTGTTTTTTTTTTCTCTTTATTTATTAGTTTTTTTTTCGTTTTTCATATATTTTTTTCTCGCTCATTGCTTGTTGTCAAGTCCAGTTCTGCCCTCATATTCGTTTCCTCGTTGCGTTTCTGGTTCAGTGGACAATTTCGCTGTCATTTCATTACATTTGATTTCATCTCATTTTTTTATTGTTGCTATTGTTGTTACAACCATCTAATATTCTTACTTAAGTTTCGCATTGATTTTACCAATATTTTCTCGCTTTTTTTTAATTTTTTTTTTGCTAATTTTTTTAGTCACGCATTATTTCCGCATGTTTATTGCTTTGTCATTTGTTTTGACATTTCCTTCAGCGCGACATATTTTTCTGCGGTTTTTTCGCCGCTCCCCTCCTGCTGCTCGACCTCATGCACATATCGGAAATGGCAAAGGTTTCAATATTTTCGTTTTTCATTTCGATTTGTTGTTGTTTTTATTTTTTCGTCTTCCTATTGTTTGCTTTCATTGTTTATTTGCTTGTGTCTCTCTCGTTATATGTCTGTCTGCTGGAGCTCATGTCACCACATAACAATCGTATTTGGCCCTTTTTATTTGCTTTCATTGTTTTTGTTTTTGTTTTTGTTTTTAGAAAAACTATCCATATCAATTTTCGAGCTCATATCTGAAATGTACTAGCAATCTACTCACATTTCCTTGATTTGCTTGCCTTGTAAAGCAGTTGGTTATTAGTTTGGGTTAAATCAAGCGGAAGAGTTGATTTTTTGAGAAGAACGGAGAGGGGAAGTGAGAGCAAAACAAGGGTTAGAATTTATAACGTATATATATACGAGTATATGTATATATGTTGGCTTATATCTTCTAAAGTTTCATATAGGTGAGAGGATGTTCCACTGAATTGATGTAAAATGATCAAAAATTTAACGTTAATGAAATCTGATATTTCAAAAAAAAAAAAAAACAGGATACAATCTACAGAGCATTATCTAATCTTTTCGGTCATAGAAAGAAACCGAACAACTACTGCAGTTTTACATTTCTTCCATCAATTACCAGTATCGAAGCGATGTTACCCAGCCGATGTGGCAGGTGTTTAGTAAATCCTTGATTTATATCAGTATTTGCGTTTATCTTGACAAGCTCCTCGTTCCTTGTCTCCCTGGTACGTAAGGGCTAAAAAATCCATTGGAAAACCTTTGTCACCAAACTTCTAATGCGCTTCTCAACCATTCCGTAGAGCTGAAATAATGGCAGACCAACACAATTTGATCTTTGTTCGTCAAGAGAGGACTCTTCTTTTGATTTGCTCGATCTGTCTAAAGTCACCTAAAGAAACAAAATCTCTAGTTTTTTCAACAGCTCATGCCAAGTGGTTGTCTTGGCTCACTTGGAAATTCTATTGGTCACTGAGGCTGCGACGAGTAGAGTCCTAAGGTGGGTTGAAAGAAGTTTAATTCTTGTCTGATAATTTCTTGAGTTTAACTACTTTTTCTTGGCCAACATCAAAAAACATATTTCTTTTGTGTCATTATTGCTTTGCTTTGCTTTTCCTGCCGTCAAAGCGCTCTTCCTGCTACTTTATTTCAAATATTTCGTACTTCAGCATTTTTCTTTTCTTTTTTTTTTGTATAATTTCTGTATATTTTCCGCTGTCAGTTTCAAGATTTCCTTAATGCTGCAGCAGCGCCCTGCCGCTTCCTCGCCACTCGTGTCCGTGCAATGCAAGAGCGTTACTAAATTGTATGGATTTTCGTATTTCACTATAAATTTCACATAAATATATTCCGCTCCAGAACATTCGTACTTTAGTCCTTCGAGTGATGAGGAACAGAGGAGCGGAGCTGGAGAGTGTGTCTGAAGAGTAAATGAATGGACATCAGTGCTTGTACATGATACTTTGACATTTTACTGCTCAAGGGCAACTTTTGAAGAACATGAACACGAAGAACACGAAGAAGACTAAGAAGAGAGGAAGAGCAGAAAGATTTACATTTCGTCTTTTGTTTTGTAAATTATGCCAAAAATATTCATTTCATGTTATTTGATTTTGGGCTACAGCAACAGCAACCATGCGATAGCACAGCAATAACGGTACATTAACTGACAACAATATTAAGTTGCTCGTACTTTTTTGCATACATTTTCATTACATTTCATTATACGCTTCTGCTCGTTCTGCTCGTTTGCCACTCGCTTTAATTCATCGAAATGCAAATAAAGGATATGCATGTATACTTGTGTGTGTGTATGTGTGCGTGTGTGTATGTGTGTGCGTGTGTATATTAATACAGTAAAAGCTTAAATTTTATAAAACTTATTATTACTTTTATTTTTCACAAAATAACGCTTGAGGTCTTCAAGAGAAGCTCGCACTAATTCCAATAAACAGACTTTGATATCGATATTTAAATGTAGATTGTGGGAGTTTGTCTTTACTTAAAAAAATGTCTGGTTTTTGTGAGAAGTAACTAAAGCTCAACTAAAATAAAACTTTTCTATTAAATCGAGAAAAGAAGAATAAATTAAGGACCATGCCAAGCAGAGTTAAATTTTGATCCAGTTCTTTATGCCAATACGAAAAGTAGAGGCTTCCAAAGATTCTTAGAACGTGAATTTCGTTTTAAGTTCCTTCAACACCCAATGCTACATACAACCTTTTGTTGAGGTATTTAGTTTTTTTTTAATCTTGATGCAGCTGTAGCTCGTTTTCTGTAGAGCTGGTGAGAGCTCATTGCAAAGACCTTGCTGACAAATAAAGTTTCACCAGTTCAATATTGAAGACTCTTTAAGTCCGTGATATCCTTCACCGCCACTTCATACTTGGATGCATAAGCAAGATGCTTTTCCAACCTTATAAGGCTTATAGATCGGCTGAAGTCCTATGGTAGCTTTTACTAAACTAACACGCGATAAATAGCGGGTGTCCTTTTTGATGGCCGCAGTTTGATATGAAACTATGTAAAAAAAAACACCCGAACTGATAAAGGTAGGATTGAAATAAAGTGTCTCGATGAACATTGCCAATCAGTCATATGAGAGCACATTCTTCATCTTTGCCCTTAGGTACCTACGCCTCAATGGGAGAGGAGCAAGAAAAAGGAAAAGAAGAATATTGAGCACTCACGAGCGTCCTATTCCGCATCCGCGTCCGTCTTGTATACTTTCGGAAATTAAAAAAATGGAACTAAATTTGCATCAACGGATTTGCATTAAATTTTGCCTTAAAAACTGTTTCAACGGGGCGAAGATATTGAAACTGTTGCAAAAAAGTTTCGGCAACGATACTTTTAAGAAAAGTGTGGTTCATCAGTAGCCGTGAGTCCGTGTACGATAATAAGCGCAGCTCGACATCGAATACTGTCGAAAACCTTAAAAAACAAAGAATGGATGCCCGTGGATCATAAGTTGACCGTAAATGGACCGAATTTGACTAAAAGAGACCGGATTTGTGGGTAAAAAATTCGAGGATTTTGCGCCACAGCATTTGGCTAAAAACGAGACGAGTACCACTCAACAACCACCATATTCACCTGATCTGGCTCCGTGCGACATTTCCTCTATTTGGTATTCGGTATACTGCCTGTGAAAGCAAATATGCGATCGTTGACCGGGAATACTCCTTTAGGAACCTTGGTTTTGTAATCGCCTTTATCTGCTTTTACTTCAAATGAGGCAACACTGCAGACTGGAATTTCTATTTTAATTCCGCGAATCTCCTCATTCTCACCCAAGCTCGACTTTAAATTTGTAATTTGAAAATAGAATGGCATTGATCGTAGCGATTGACGTTTTCTGAACGAACGCAATTACAAATGTCTCACCCACTGCAGCGACTGGGTTAAAGACTCTAGACCCCTTAAATGGTAGTAATTCTGATCAGTGGAAATTTTGTAGAAAGGACTGTAGAAAAAGGATTAAACATAAATGTGGCTCTGCCTAGTTCAAAAATATTATTTTTTACCAATCACAGAAATATTATATCTCCTCACATATAAATGGGAATTTTTTTAATACATTCAATGCAATAAATTGTCATTCGGCAATAACAACAAAAAGCACTTAAAATAATTTAATAATATGGTTTTCGATTTGCTCTTGCAGAAAATTGCTTTTGACCGCAGAACCTACAACGAAAAGGAAGTTTTATTAGTTTGCCATTTACAATTTCGAAGAAATGGAGATTTTACAGTAAGGAAGCCGACACCCACACACAAACACACAAGTGTGTAGAAATATAGTTTTACATGCAAATATGATTATAGTTACAAGTGCATATACACACATACATTTACATAGAAGTGTATATATATTTGTGAGCTGAAAAGCACCGAGTTGTTTAAAATACAATTCCATCTCTCTCTCGCTCTCCCTCTCCCTTTCTCTCCTTGCCTCTAAAAAGGACAATGAGGTTTTGTAATATACATAAAACATTTAGTTGTACGAGGGAATGAACAAAAGTTCGGTCAGCTTTACTAGTCTTCCTTTCAAGTTTTAGAACGATCCTAAAATGGCGACGAAAAACGCATGATGGCTGAAGATAGGTTAGACGAAATTCCAACCCCAAAGCAAACAGAGATTCGCCACATGATTCTTTTTGGGTGCCGGCTTAATTTATTGCCAATACAAATATCCAGTGAAAGCACCGTCTTTAAAGGCTATTTCTAAGTGATTCCGAAGATTCCAGTCGCCCAAAATCTTCCGCTTCCGAAGACCCACGATTGACACAAGGAATGATTGCTAATGAATTGGACTTGAATGTCATGGCTATGTCGCAATATTGCTTGCTGAAATCCTTATGAAATCTGTTGGAGAACCGGAGGAAAGGGGTTTTGCGGCGCTTCTTTTTTACATCATGACAACGCGCCATCCCACAATGCTGAAATACAGCGTAGTTTCATTGTGATCTCTGGGAGGAAAAATACGTCCAGCAGCATATTTCCTGGATATGGTACCTTGTGATTTCTGGTTATTTCCAAGAATTGAAAAAAAAGTAAAGCGAAAGGTCCTTAATAGCAGCGAAGAGATATTTAATGCGGTCATTGCTGAATTTCGAAGGTTCGAAGAATTTTTTTTTGGCCAACTTACCGCCCTTTTGTTAATCCCCTCGTATTTGTAAAATTGTTAATGCAATACGCATAAAAATAAATTACAAAAGCACATACCCAACTGGCTTTGATTGCAAGTAAATGCAATTGTGTTTGTATGTGTTTGTGTGTGTGTGTGTGTGCGTTTGTTGTAATCAAGGCTCAGTGCTGTGGAAATGCATACACATGCACTTTTTCAATGACTTTCCGTTATTGTTAATACCGTTTATGCTGTTGCTGTTCTTTTTGTTGTTATTGCTGTAGCTGCTGACAATTTCTTTTTGTGGCTTTTTTCTACCATCACATTTGGTCGCATTGTTGTCAGAGCTTCAACAGCTTCCGTTTTGCCAAAGTGTATTTAAATTTCAATAGACCTGCAACAACAACAACAACAACAACAACAACAACAACAATACCAGCAGCAGCAGCAACAAAATAGAGAAAGAAAAATCAGCAAGCTTTCAAATTACCTATCCTTCGACCGTCACCCAATTTAGTCGCATCGTTCTCAGCTGTCGTCAATTCCCCTCGCCCTCCTCTCGCCTCATTCACCTATTATTATGCTACTCTCCTCACCTCTCCTCTTCTCTCTTCGGTGGCAAAGCCAAGCAATCAGCAGTCTTCATGTTCAATGTCCATGCAAATTGTTGTTCATGGTTCAGAGCGAATGAGAGAGGCCACTTATGCAGACTTATTTGTATGTTCGAGGTGAGTTGAGCGCGTTCCCAATGCGATTTTTTTAGCATATCTCCTCATATATATATATATATGTTTAATGCTATTTTGAAAAGATTGGAGGTGTGAAGCGCGAATTGGAACCACTGCACAGCTCTCTCCTACTTTACCTTCAAGTCTTCAAAATATCGCTTTTTGGAAGAAAATTAGGATCAAGATGCAGATTGATAGATATTGCACTTCGCTGAGGCGGTGCTCCTGTGGTGAAATTTTGAGTATATTCATGCCGCAATTTCATCGAAACTGGGTTTAGGAGCTTCTCGGACCGTGTAAAGTTCTTATTGTTAATGTCTAACTCTCTCTGGAGAGCGTCAGTTTGGAGCAGCAAATGCTCTCTGAATACTCACTAAAAATAGATCTTCGCTCTCAATTTCTCTCAGGGCAATTAAATAAGCTTTTAGCCAAATTAATATGTACATTAAACGCATATGTATTAGTGTGTATGAATGCATATAAACTCTCCAATATAAATATATGCATGTATTTATTTATTTATAACAACCAATATTCATGCGTTGATTTGAAATTTTGCTTTTGATTCGATTTCTGCATTTCCGATGGCCAGTAATGTGTTGCGTAGCATTACTCAGAAATCAAGTAGCGAATAGCAAAATAACCATTAGCAATATGCAAACGTGCACATGTACGTGTGTATATACATACATACTCATATACATTTATCCTATACATTTTCAATTATATTGTATGTATGTATGTATGTATGCATCTGTATTGGAGTATTAATATATGAATACGCACGCCATTCAAATCGTATTGAAGGCATTGTGAATATATGAATATCGCAAGCTTTTGAATGACAGCCGGATAACGGTATATGTATAGTGTATGTATGCATGTTTGTGTACGGTTAACTATGGGTTTGGTCAAGCACACGAGCGAGGTTGGCTAGGCCATGCAGGATATATGTACATATATACCAATATATGCTTGTATATATTGTTGGTACCGGTCATTCATTGTATAACATTCATTTATATACATATGTGTGTGTAGTATGTAGCGCAGAAAATCAGAAATCAAACTGGAAATTACTTCCGTTCATTTAAATTTGAATTCAGCAATTATTTCCGGTCGCATGAATTCGTTATGAATTTTCCAATATGAAAATCCATGCGAAGAAAAATTGTATGTATGTGTATGTGCGTGCACGGTATACATTGTATTATGACAGCACAATACCATTGATTCCATGCTTTTTTCTTAAAATTATTTTCAAGCATTTTATTAACTAGTAACAGATCGACATATATTAATATGAATATGGATAGGCATATATATCCATGTATTGTATAAGCAAAAATACGTTTTCTACTTTAAAATATAATGTTTAATTTTATTTTATTTTATTTTATTTTATTTTATTTTATTTTATTTTATTTTATTTTATTTTATTTTATTTTATTTTATTTTATTTTGTTTTTATTTATTTTATTTTATTTCATTTTACTTTTATTTTGTTTTGTTTTTTTATTCAGCATACTTCTTAGTTATTATTTGGTATAAACCGCATTAAATCTTCCTTACATGCTTATTTAATTCTCCATTCAAAAATTTGCATTTTCCGATAAAAAACAGGGCAACTTTTTGATTCGTAGCATTATTTGATTGCTTTGCAACTTCTTCAGTAGAAATAAATCTAATTTAATTACCTATAAATGCATTTACATACATATACATATAGAATTTTTTTCAGTGCAAATTTATTTCGTATTTTTTTCTTCTATTTCGTGCGCAATTTTAACTAACTTTTTTCAGATTCTTTATTTATAAATTTATTTTTTTATTTGTTGCTTCTTCCTGATATTTAATTTACATCACTTTTACTATTTCGCGCCGATTTAATATTGTTTACGCTCCTATTGCAAAAAATATATATAAAAAAAAATGAGTGCAAAGAATATCACTTAAATAAGTGTGAAAATGCGGATATATGTATGTACATGTGTTAAAACTTTATGTAAAAATATGCACATAAGTAAAAGCTTTTCTGCACTTTTTTAATTCAATTCGTTTTATTACCAAATTCAGTTGCATAAAAAGTTAATGAAAGTCATTTCCGCTTGATGGATGATTGCAATTTGTGCTTGAAAATCAATTAAGCGGTTTTCCTCATTTTTGTTTTTTTTTTAAATAAATCTATTGAAAACTTAATTTTTCTGGCAGGATATTGAGAAGTTTACATATAAAATGTTTCACATAAAATTGCAATAAAAACAGAACCGGAAGAAATTCTGCTAAATCCGATCAATTCGTGGTGAAAATATCAGAGAAGAGTCTGCAAGCTCTTTCGCAGGCTTTATTGGTTAAAATCGATGGATTTAGAAACATAGAAATGAACTTTTCTGAGTACAAGTGTAATCACATCTTGACTGAGTGGAGGCAGATTTAAGGTGGTTCATGCTGATACTTGAGTGGGATCCATTATTCTTCGAAAGCTGCTGTCTTTTATTAGTGATCTTACACAATAAAGTGGATTTATCTCCAGGGACTTTTTTTGAGATCCAAATAAGTTTGATATGCATTTTTTACCTCGTAGGGAATAGGGGCCCAGATCCGTTTTATTCTTTTTAAGTTCTACTCCTTTCCTCTACACCTAGCCTCTTGAAGGTGAAATATTAAATTTCACACGGAGCTTATATGCAATTTGCGAAGTTATTATTACATATATCCATACGAATGAGCTTAATTATTGCTATTAATTTCCAACTCGCAACTAACAAAAGAAGACATTTTCAAGCTCATTGCCTCCGAAAGGCATTCTGTAGTCTGTGATGATGAAATGATGTTGATGATGATGTCGCCATCAGTGCATTCACGCCAACAAACAATTCAAAATCATTCGACTAGAAAAAGAAAATCAAACAAATTCTTTACACTTCACAAGCTCACTAAGTGCCGACGTCCGTTCGGGCGCGGGGCGGACGGATGGACGGACCGGAGCTAGAATAAAGCCAAAGATGCATATATTTTACTGGAGTGCAAATGAAACTGCCATTTGAGACGATACAGACACTTAAACAAATATAAATGCACAAGCATACACTTCCTTACATGCATTTCTATCCATATATGCATGAATGGACGTGTGTGTACGTGTGTGTGTGATTTTAGATTGCATTGCACTTATGCGTCTCTACACTGCATACTGCATCCTTTGTCAATATTTATTTACTCACACTCACACTCACACTCTCGCACGCTCATAAGCACACATACACAACTCACTTTTACAACTCACTCTCGGTTGCTATCCGCACTCGTTGCAAGCTGGGTGTGTGTCTTCATTAAGCGAAGTGTTGCAACATGGCAAACAAATTTATTCAAGTGCAAATGTAATGCATTATGTGCAAGTTATTATACGTTTGCATATGTATAGGTATATGTGTGTATTATTGTTTTATCAATATTGTCATAATGGCAAGCAAAGTTGAAGGGTCCTTAAAACGCGCCGAAATATATGCAATATAATGCACTTACATATGAACATATAAATATAAATTATAATACTTGCCTAACTAACACCTGCATATACATATATATAGATTAAAGAAGGTGGGTGTCGTAATATTCACTGAGGTTAAGTTAAATACCAGATACCATTGCAAGGTAATTTTATTTTATAAGAAAAAGTTAGAAGATTTTATTTAGTTCGAGAAACTTGAAACCTCAAATCAGATCTCCCGTGAGTTTCCTCAATACAGTTTTCAACTCAAAGTAAAACAGGATCTGTAGGATAAGTAAAATGATGAAAAATTTTATTTTTGATCATGCCGAGGTTTTCGATGCTCGTTTCTGCAATGTTTCGTTAGTAATGTAGTGAAATTCGCTATCGTTTTCAAGTTGTTAGTATTTTTCTAATGCCTTAAAAACCAGTTCTTAACATTTATATCAAAGAAATCTGCTCCGATTGACAATTTGTAATAAATAAAAATTATATAAAAATTTTTAAATGTAGATGTAAAACGTAGACTTGTTCTCAGTCTTTCGTTGAACATTTCTTCACTGTCTCTTCTCCAGTGAACTTCGTGTTAACTTCTTATATTTAAATTGAGGTTTTATTTTGTAACCATATTAATAATAAAGTGAATTGGGAAATTGTTTGCAAATTTCAGGTCTCCATCAGCAATCTGCACTCGAAACAGTCAATGTGGAGACCTGAATTTGAGAAATATTTCTTGAAAAACCTTTAAGATTAAGTTTCAAGGAATTTCAAAGAGACGATGATATGAACATAGTAGCCCCCAGCGGAATCAATTGAACTCCATGTATCATGCGAGTTCTTAATAAACTAAAATTTTGTTAATACTATAATGTGAAGAAGCCAAAGAAATTGTGAATTGAAAGGCTAAGAGTAAAAAAAAAATACTTTTATTTTTGGACTAAATTTAACCTTCAATGATGACGAGCGATTGAACGATCCGAAGTATTCTTAGCTTAAAACCAGAAGTTGTACTCTGGCATTCTAATATGGCACCCCATGTTTCATCTGCTGATAGAATCTTATGTAGAGATGGGCTTTACGTCATAAGGCTTACGCCACAGTAACTAAAGCGAACACTAAGCTACATCTCAGCGCAACCTTTCTTCTCCACAAGCTGTTGGATTGCCCCTCGTATGCTTGCATATATATATATGCATGCAAACGTTTCTTCATGAATACATTTATATTTGCTGACTGTTAGCACAGCTACCAAGGCTGACAACAAGCAACAATGACACCAACAACAATGGCCAACTGCAACCAATACCAAAGTGCTTGCAGCCACACTAATAGTAGTAAGATAAGGCAAAGAGAAGAAGAATATAAAAAGAAAATTGCATGCAACCAAAAGCGTATCAAAAATTAAGAGGAAGCAGAATCTGCAAAACTTCCACTCGATGCATGCAAATCTGTGCAGGGGAAAGAATTTGAAAAAAAAAAATCGAAAAAATCAAAATAAAAATATATAAAATAAAAAAGCTTGAGAAAAGCTTGGTAGAGAGTAAAAGCCTGGCGTAAGTATCTAGAGAACATAGACACACACACGCACACACCTTTAGGTGAGGAAGGCTTACAAACCACCAGCTGAGTGCTGAGCTCACTGAGGGTGTAATATGCAAAAATTATACACAACGTAATATCAGCAAACGCACATTTATGCACATGCATATGTGTTACGCTTAAGAACCGTTATTTGGGTAAGTATATGCACGGTTGGTGGTACTAATACAAAAAGCTGCTGAAATAAGATACAATGCTAAGCTTGCAACTTTCTACTTATTTCATATTTATTTTTATTGTTGTTATTTTCGCGCTGACAGTCGACTCGATGTTGCGGGTGAATTTTAATAGCAAGCAATAACAGGAGTAGCAACAAAAAGCAACAACAACGTCAGTGCATACTTAAATTGCAAGTGAAAGAGATTTGTGGCAAGAAGGTAAGAAGCCCATTAATGCAGACAAACACACATCTCTATGTACATACTTATGTACAAGTTGAATACATATGAGCGTTTTACACTTCAAGTTGCCAGCACAAAAATTGCCGATTTTTCGCTTTTCCACACTTAAAAATCATACATCAACTTGTGTAAAAGAATAAGGCAGAAATATTTAAGAAGCTACGCATTTTAGTTTTGATAGCAGCAGTAGTGGTTTCTTGAGAAATCTCATTTTGCATGCTTGCGGGTACACCATGTCGTATGAGCGACGTGAATTATTTGAACATCATTTTTGTTTAATTTTCTAAAAAGTAAACATTAAATATTTAATACCAGTATTTTTCATTCCCTGTATTTTTTATTTCTTTATTTATTTATGTAATTTTTTTTTTTTTTTTTTTTTTTTTTTTTTATTTTTTTTTTTTTTTTTTTTTTTTTGTTGAAAATTATGCAGTTTCTAACCGAATTTTTTAACTAAAAGCAAATACTTTTCTTAAATAAAAAAGTACATTTTTTAACTCATGGAATATGATATTTGTTCAATTTGAAATCTAAATATAGAAATATAAAAATGGAAAGAATGGTTTCTCACGACAACAACAAACGCTTCTGATGTGAAATCACCTCCGCAAACACTAAAGAAGAGTGATGGCTTGTAGAGGTAAAATCGTTTTTCCGGGAAGACAATAAAACTGTAATGTGTGAGTGCACAATGGAATGCAAAGCGAATAAAGAAAAGCATAATAATAATAAAACAAGCGGCGGGAAAAAACATCAACGAATCTGCGCTGAATATGCGAACAGCCCGCACTGCGAGTGAATTTCTAAATTTAGCTCAAAAAGGACCTGCGTGGTAAATTTTAAATATGTTTTTGTGATTCTGCACTTATTTTTGTTTTATTCATATTTATTTCATTCCTTTTATACCCTACTATTGTACTGTTGCTAGTTGTACCCGCATATAGTAGAAGTGCTCCCCCAAGGGCAATGGAGCACAAAGAAAAACCGCCCCTCAGCGTAGGGGGGGGAAATCTGTATAATATAAATAAAAACAAAATACGCTTTCATTCAGCGCTGACATGTTCTTTAAGTCAGAGTTGTATGTTGTCTTGCAAAGCAAACGTCAGCAACCCCTGCCTGATATTACCACCAAGCGAAGATTTTTACATAAACACATACATATACACGTACATCTACATGACACGTTATCATTTCAGTTGAATTTTTCCCGCTGCGCATCGCAATTTCATACATTTTTTAATGCTGGAAAAATAATTTACAACAGCATTACTTACATTAATTTACATACGCATATAACCATATACAAATACATACTTACTGTTACATACTTTCTGTCTCTGTTGGCATTTAAATAATACCGAAACGTTGAGGCATTCAATGAGATCGCGCTTTTTCGCATAACGAAAAACAAAACAAAGCAAAAAAACAACAACAACTCCCTGAATTGAGCGCATTTGTATGCCTTTGCCGTAATATCCTTGCCAGGATATGCTCTTCTTGTATGCGGATTTATTTACGGATTTCTGTTTGCGGCAATTATTTCTGAGAATTCTCTGTGCTGTCCCCTCTCTTCCTCATTCACTGCTATTTCGCCGGTAATACAAACCGTGATTGTGATTGCTGTTTGCCGCTATTGTTGTTCTCGGTATATAATTCCACTTTTGCATATTTGCTATTGGTATTTGTTCTTACACACATCTGTAATCACATTGATACATACATACATATGAACAAACCACAATATTTTCCGCTGATTTGTTTATTTTTCCACGTACACATTTGTTTAGCGAATAGAATATGCACTTACCCAATGACAATTCACAGGACCTCTCCCTTTCCTATATCCGCTGCCGCTCCTTCCACGCTCCATCTCGCTTGTTCTGCCATTAAAGGACATTAAAATAAATGCGTATGTTTTGCAAATATTCTTTGTGTACGTTTGTAACGGATACTCATATATGCACAGTTATTATTTTACCTTTACCGTTACAAGTATAATAATACTGTTGAATATTCCCCCATGTAGAATATGTGGCATTTGCTTTGTGCTTCGAAATTTTTGCATTGAAAAGGTACAACACAAATGATGATTATTTATATTACAAATATGTAAACAGTGCTTGGGGTCCTCGTTGGCGGCGGTCTCTGAGGGAGCACAACCGTGCTATTAAATGTATCGATTTGAATGCTTTGCAATTTTGAAATAAGTAATGAGATTTCACATTAGTCAGATATTTATTATTTTATTTTATTTTATTTTATTTTATTTTATTTTATTTTATTTTATTTTATTTTATTTTATTTTATTTTATTTTATTTTATTTTATTTTATTTTATTTTATTTTATTTTATTTTATTTTATTTTATTTTATTTTATTTTATTTTACTTCATTTCGTTATTTTTCATTTTAATTATTTTTCATCAAGATATCTTAAGTTTTCCTCCTACCTCTCGCCTATGAAAACGATGAGGTCGAAATCATCTTTACCTTAGCAAGAGCTTCTTCTCATACTAATTCCATTGTAATAAACCAAAGCTAATTCAAAATCCTAGTAAGGTGTGTGCAGAAATAAACTCACACACGATTGTGCTCTGGTACGGAATACCCGCTAAAAAGTTGAAGGTCGCTCATTATTCAAAAATTGCCAGCAGCTAAAGACAGCTCATAAATTCAGTGGCACAAGCCCAAGCACCTGCACACACATATGTATATAAGTATATACTTAACACGCAGAACACAATTGTTGCTTTATAAGTATCGCAACGCCTTGATGTAGACAATACATTACAGCGAAGGTTTATAATTCGTTGTCTCAATGACTCAATGTTGGCAGGGTTGGAAGGCTGCGGGGCTGTTGGTATATAAGTGACACGCAATCTAACAACCAAAGACACGGCACTTGACACAGCTAGGAGGAATAAAGCTTAGAAATTAAAATTACCTTCAGCTAATCCTATTGCCCACGCCACCACCACCACCACCAGAAGAAGCGGCAAACTGAATTATTAAATTTTGAGCGTAAGATAAATTCACATAGAGAAAGTAAAAAGAAGGAAAGGGTAGGGGCATTGTAAATGGGAAATGATAGAATTTTCTTGTCGCGAAGTACACCAAATATTTTTTTGAGCTTTCGTAAGTGACATAATTACAATTGTCACCAATGGAGCTGTGACGACGGCAAAGTGGCGACAGCCAACAAACACCTGAGCCAACCAGCGAAAATGAGCAAGAGCAACGGACGCGTTGAGTTGTGCGGCATGATTTAGTGGCTCAACGTGGGAAAAAACGTTTGTACTTTCTGTCTTTCCTGCTCCGCTTGCTTGACTAAAGTGATTTAGCTGTCTTTCGGCAGCTGAGAATTTCCACGTCTCGTAACGCTGCTGACACCTGTCCCCATTTCGAAATAACTGAAATAATTCGTCGACATAGCAGCTAATTTATTTTCGAAATGGAATTATGTGTTCAGTTGAAATTAAGCGTCGTCAAATTTGTTTGATTAAATTTATCGCGAAAATGGATTAAATGAAATTGGGCAGGAGACTTGAGTGTGAAAGCAAATAACTATTTTTTCAAATACTGAACTTTTTGATTAAAAAGGACTCACAATTATTTAGAAGCTTTATTGCACCTTTCAAACTTCAACCCAATGTGAAGCCACAACGTGTCTCCCAAGCGTTGCTGACAGATCAATATTAGGGCAGACACTCTGTCGTTTGGTCATCTAAATTTGGTATATCCTTTTCGCTGAGATTTAAGCTAATAATTTTATTGTTTCGAACATGTATTGTCCAAGATTCACTACTGTTTTGCAAAGCAGCTAACGGAAGATAGCGAAAAGCTCATATTTAACAGAGAAGCAATCCTTTTGAAGCTCTTCAGGGTATAAAGAGTTGTACTACTAATATGCTCGGATCTCAGAACTATTGCCAAGGATTGACGTAGACCGCAAATGATCAGAGGGTTCCATATATCGTACATTCTACATCTCTGCTCTTCCTGTCAGCTTTGCCGTTTATCATCAACTAAACAAGAATGAGAGTCCGAAGGTTTGTAATTCCTTAACTAACACCGGAACTGCGACTTATGACCTTAGGTCCAAACGGTCACTGGTTTCAGCCCAGTAGACCCATAACTAAAAAAAAGTTAGTCCTATAAACTTGGAGTCGACGGAAGACTTACATACCTATCCTCAACTCCGCCCAGTCTGCCTGGCGATAAGTCTCCTAAGAGGCAATTTGAAGACTCTTAAGCCCATGCTTTCTGGTATAGAAGAACTGTTGACTTGCCACAGCATCTCCTAAGTAACCTTAAGCTTAAGAATTCTACTTATATAAAAATTGCACGAAAGTCATTTTCCATTTAAATTCTCACTCGGAATTGTTCACAAAAATATTCTCTGAATTCCACTCACATCGTCTCATTAGCCATTTCCAAGAAACGCCAATTGGAATTCAAATTACTTATATTTGCATATTTGTACAAATTTCCTAAAAGCGGAGGAAGTCAAAGTTAAGCAAACAAAGGTTGACGACCTTCACTGCCGGAAACAGCAACAGAAATGTTTGGTTGCTATACAAACACATACAAACACACGCCTCAAATAACTTTCGGCAGCTCATTATTTGATGAAACCTGAATTTTCTTTCATCCAACTCACCCACAGAGACGCACAATCTCCGAGCACCATCCTCCATCCACCCTCCTTGATACAACCCCTCAACCGTATTAACGCAGCTGATGTTTAAAAATCGATTTCGGCAAACGGGTTAAAGGTCGAACACATTCATTTGCCAAAACCACAGCCACAGCGAGAGCCAGAGCCAAAGCCGAAAATGAAAATGAAGAGGAATCATTTAGCTTGAGCTGCGGCTCTTCAGTGTGCCTGTGTGACTGTTTTTGTGTGTGCCAAAGTAAATGAGCCAAAGGTGAAAAAGTGGTAAATGGCGAAAATAAATTGAATTCATAGTGTCCTACCGAAGAGCATACGAACAACCGCACAAACGAACAAACGAACAAAAAAAAGACATCAGCGAAGCTCAACTTTTCAGGGTTTTGTGTCCAGCCCAACTTGACGGTGAATTCATGAGAATCAACTTTACCTTCAACTCAATCGAACTAAATTGCGGTAAAACGTTTCCAAAAAAGCACTAAAAGCTACGTGAGTGGAATCGCATAAGTGTGTGTGTGTGCGAGATCCGACGTCAGCTGTGGAGGTGGGCAGCAACGTACAACATTGATTTTTGATTACGTTTGCGGAAAATCGGAAAATGTTAACAAAATTGTTTAGGAGCCCAGCAAGGCAATGAGAAAAAAATCGTTTGAATGAGCCAGCGAATGAGCGCGCAACGAAGCGAAGTGTGCTGCACATCAACAGTAAATGCATGAATGAATGGATGAATGGCTGAATGAATGGTTAAATGACACAACGACCCAAACGTCGGACGGCTTTGGGTGCGCACTGAATGCGATGTGCAAAAATACAAACGCAGGTGAATTGGTGGTGAAGTTGCTGGATATCGCGCTGGCTGAAGATGAATACACACACGCACGAATACACGGTGTCAAAGTGCAAACTTTCCTTTTGGAGAGGAGGTGAAAAAGTTAGTCAAAATGAGTTCAAGTCTTAAGTGAATCATTGGTTGGAAAGGTAAAAGTTTGGGTATAACTTTTTTTTGTATTGAATGAGCGGTGTTAGCGAAGTTGATTTAGAGCGGGCGGTGTGCGGGAGGTGAGCGAGAGGGTAAAAAGTAGGTGAAGAGTTGGAAAGAGGGAGAAAATAACAATACAGTATCCACACAACCCCATCTTTGCGTAAGCTTCTATGTTCTTTTTGTCTATATGAAATCACAAGATACCACCTTTTTACCGGTTTTCTTTTTGGTATTGTTTTCCTGAGCTTGCATGTGATCATTCTCTTCTCTCTCTCGCTCTTACTCTACCTATTCCTTTGCTTCTCGCTCTCCTTTTCCTCCTTTTCGTCCTATCTCCTTCTCGCTCTCCCAGTACCTCTTTCTAGGACGAACCAAATTCATTCTGTCTCCCTCTTCCTATTATTCTATCATTTAAATACTCAATCAACTGAGGCATTCGAAAGCCAAGATATGACTTTTTGGTGGAGTTGTCTCAATAGAATTCGAAGGTTGACTCAGTTTTTAGCTTATTCTGATTAGCTTACTTCTATCATCTTATCCTCTATCTCCTAGCTGACGAGATAGAGTCATCCATTTCTGTAATTTGCCATTTTACAAATGACTCCTAGCTCATCTTAAATTCTCCAACTCCCTCTCTGTAAAAATAAAGCTTTTCTAGAAAACGAAGCTCCAAAGAAAAACGGAATATCGAATTATTCATTTCGGAGTAAGAGCCCATCAAATGCATGATGAGCCGAAATCCACTTAGCAAAGTGATACTCAAATGGCAAATGCTCTCTCGTAAAAGGTACAAAACACCCAAGCACAACTCAATTTGATAGTTTACGCACACACACAAACATTCACACATCTATATCCAACTCATAATAGGTGCTTATGATGCTTGTACGCCTAAAAGCGGGCAACAAATATCTGGAAAACACATACGGAGCTCTAAATCCATATAAATAGAAACTCTAATATGTATGTACGTATGTGCGTGCATGTGAAGTTACAAGTATAATTGACAACGACAAATAATCGCGATGAGGTGAAGATTCCAGGAAATGTGCAATTTATAAAACACGCGCAAGTCCGCCGGGAAGTTCGCAAGAAGTGATGAGCAAAGCAAGAACAAACAAATATTGCAGCTTATTTCCGGGAATGCCATGGATTCCTGTGATTTATCTCGGTATTTATGCGCTGCCTGCCTAGTTGGTTCAATAGCGTTAAATGAACTTTTGATGT